AAAAGTGATTGTAATATTATTAAATGGCAAAATTACGAATGAAAAGCAAATTTATAACTTTAGTGAAGAATGAGAATTTATTCAAATAATGCTGCGCATATATTTTTTCTAGAATTCTTCACTTTATTTTAAAAAATCCGAGTTTTAATTTTTAGGAACATCTTTTACAAGCACTGTCTTTTGGAGCGCCTCCACATGGTGGTTTTGCTCTTGGGCTTGATAGGTATATAGCGCTGTTGGCTGGATTGGGTAATCCGAACAAACCCATTCGCGATGTTATTGCTTTCCCGAAAACAAAAGAAGGTAAAGACATTATGTGCGGGAGCCCAACCGCAGTTCCAGATGAAGAGTTGGAGAGGTAATGATCCAGCAGCTTTATGTATGCTTCCTAATTCGGTGTGCAGTAAAATAACTTAGTGGTTCATAGCTTAAATCGTTTTTCAGGTTTGTAGGAATTTATGGTTGTTTAGTTCATCTTTTTACAGGTTCGGGATTACGCTACGGCAGAATAATTTTGCTGGCTAAGAGATTTATCGCCACTAAGTTAGTATATATTTTCCAGAACAGATTTTTATTTATCATTCGCACAGTCAGATAAGTGATTGTGGTTATAATGAAGTGTTAAAAACTGAAGCGAGAAGCAGCTGCGTTGGGACGTATAGCCTCAGTTTAGCATTGACAAGCTAAAGTTGAACTGAAGAATTTCTGATTTTAAGTTACTTATGTTGAATCTTTTGTTTTAGTTGTTTTTTATTTTACAGGTAATCTGCTTAATAAAAAGTATAAAAAACAATAATAGTTGCAGTACTAACTTTTTAACTGCATCAATAAATTGTTATTCAACTGGACTTTTTTTTATAACTAAAAAACAATACGACTTTTTGAATACCATCACTGAATTAATCATTTTTTTTATTTTTATGGTGACTGTTACTGCAGCAATTGAAATTATTCTCACGGAGATGCAGGTACGATTGCAATAGTTCTGTATAATAGCTGCTGAGTGCCGCTAGAACTAAAGTTTTGTAGTTACATACTTTCACAAATATATATGGTACCATAAAAGAAATTAAAAGAAATTGGTTCTCTGGGCTAATTTTGACTTCAAGAAACCAAGATATTCATTTGCACGTCTGCAAATATGGTCGTTGTTCTTCAGCGAAGTGTTAGATGCTGCATGAGTTAATTGCTTCCGTAACTAACATAGTCTTTCAGTCAATTTTTTTAGATGATTTTTTTTTCGTTATAATTTTTTGATTATTTCATCCTACAAGCAGAAGCTAAAAAATGATATGATGAAATTGTGTGGAAGAAGCAGCAGCAAATGTAAATTGGCATTTGGGCCTTACAAACAATTGGATAAATTTTTTGGAAGAAACAAACCCCCGCATAGCAAAGTCTTAATGCAGTAACAGTTGTTGTTTTTGTTCTTACTTGGTTCTGCATAATCTTCAGATATTAACTTCAGCTATTAGCTTGTTCACTCCAAGTTCTCTTGATTTCCTGTGATCAAAATACGTAGGCCGTATAAGAATTATTTGGCAAGATTAACGGGAAAAAAAAAAAAAACATTCGCATTTATTTGGTTCTTATCTTAAAACTTTTGTTTTAGTCTCACAGAGATTGAAAGGTATTAAAGTAATGTATTTCAAATGCATTTTTAAAAGTGGTCTGAAACAGCGGTGATACAACAGTATTTGTTGAACTTCAAGTAATATAAGGTTAAAGGTTTAAAAAGAAGAGGAACGGAAATGGCACACAAAAACCTGATAGTCAATTCAGCTCAAAAATACTGTTCATTTCTGTTTCTTTTATCCCATTTTGAACAGCAATCATAATGGACGGTATTTTAATAAATACGATATTCGGGATACTCAAAAAAGGAAAAAAAAAAGAAAGAAAAAACAGGCAAATAAATCGGTAGTTGTTTGATGGACACAAAATTAGTGCTCTCTCTGTCTTGGTGTTGACGTAAGAACAAGCATAAAGTATTGAATTTAAGCTTCAAAGTAATATTGTCAAGCTTAATAATCAAATTGGACGCACATTCGCCTTTTTCCAAGCCAAATCCCTAATTGAATTTGCTCTCACAAACTTAACATTCAACTTACAGCTGCCAATAATCAACGCCAGTGGGCGGAGTTAAACGGCAATATGGTTATGATGGCGCATGAAAATAGTGTGGCAAACATTGGAGGGCGTTAAAGAAATAAGCAAACTGGTGACTACGAGGTTACGGTAGATGTGGAAAATTCGAGGTGAAGCGTTGTCTAAGGGGCTTCAAAGAGGTTTTGACATCGGCGACCCCAGTAATATATTAAATATAATATATTGAATCTTACAAATTAAATCTTCGGGCTGTTACGGGATGACTGATGGACTTAGCAGTGCTCTTAACGGAACCACAGTTGCTGCTGTCTCCGGTCTTGGCCAGGTAAATTTTTTTTTTGCGTCACTATTATGCATTAATTTTTTTTTTTTAAAACATAATTTAGTTGTTTTTGAGAATCTTTTATAATTATTGTCATTGTTACGATTATTGTATTAATTTGAACTCAACAGTGTTTCTTGTTTGATTTTAATCTAATAACTTTTCAAAATCATTTCAGCGTTTTTTACTAATTTAAACAAAAATATTGAGTTCTTAAAAATGTCTCAATGAATTTCATTAGAACAA